ACAAACATACCAGCTATACTGTAAGCTAGAAATGCAGGTCACTATGGAAAATGCAGTAAAGACATCAGCACTTCCATCCTCTTTTCCTCTTTTTCCTCCTCTCTGTTCCTCCTCTTTCTTGTCCTCCTTATTTCTACACTTATGTCCTCTTTTCTCCTCATGTCCTACTGTCTGTTTCTCCTCCTCTGTTCTTCCTTCTCTCCTCTTTTCCTCCTCCACTCGTTTCCCATTTTCTCCTCTTCCACTTGTCTCCTCGTTTCTCTTGCTCTCTTTTCTTTTCTCCTCCACTTTTCTTCTCCCCACTTCTCTGCTCCTCTTCTTCCCTTTTTCCTCCCCTCTTCCTTTTTCTTTCTCTCTGTTCTTTTATCGTATTCTTCTTCCGTCTTCCACCCTTCTCTCTACTTTTCTCAGTCTCTCAGCTCCTTTTTTCCTTTCGTCTCTTTTTTCCTCCTCTCTCCTCGTTTCTCCTCCTCTACCCTCTTTTCTCCTCCTCTCGGTTCTTTTTACCTCTGTTTTTTTTTTCTCCTCCTCTCTGCTCTTTTTTCCTCTCCCTTTTTCTTATCCTCTCTTCTTTTCTCCTCCTCTCTGCTCTTCCTCCACGCATCACTCTTGTCTCTTCCTCTCCTCTTTTTTGTCTTCTTTCCCTCTTTTTCTGTATCTTTTTTCTTCTCCACTCCTCTCTCTTCCACATTTCTCTGCTCCACTTCTACCCTTTGTCCTCCTCCTGTCCCCTCTTTCCTTCTCCTCTTTCCTCTATTTCTCTCCTCTCTTCTTTTAGCTTATTTTTATCTTCCAGCCTTCTCACATCTTTTTCTTTCCTCTGCCCTTTTTCCTCCTTTGTCCTCTTTTCTCTTGTTTTTCTCTCATCTTTCCTTCCTCTTCTCTCATCCTCTCTGTTCCTCCACTCATCTCTCTCATTTTCTCCTTTGCTCTGCTCCTCTCTCCTCTCCTTTTCTTCTTATCTTCTCTCCCTTCCTTCTCCTCTCTGCTCCACCTCTCCTTACTTTTCTCTTCCTTTCTGCTCCTCTCACATCTATTCTCCACCTTTCTTTTCCTCCCTAATCCTCTCTCATCTTTTCTCCTCCTCTCTTTTCCTCCCCAGGCCTCTCTCATCTTTTCTCCTCATCTTACCCCTTTGCTCTTCATCTCTCCTCTTTCTTTTCTCCTTATGTCCTACTGACGGTTTGTCCACCCATCCTCTACTCTCCTCCTCTGTTCTTCCTTCTCTCCTCTTTTCCTCCTCCACTCATCTCCTGTTTTCTCCTTTTCCACTTCTATCTCCCTTTTTCTCCTCCTCTTACACTGTCTAATGCTCCTCCTCTCTTTTCCCTTCTCCTCCACTCCTCTCCCTTCACTTCCCCACTTCTCTGCTCCTCTTTCCTTTTTTCTCCATATCTCTTCTTTTATCCTATTCTTTGCCCATCTTCCACCCTCTCTATCCTTTTCTCATTCTCTTAGCTCCTCCCCTTTTTTCCTCCCCTAATCCTCTCTTGTCTTTTCTCCTCATCTCACCCCTTTGCTCTTCATCTCTCCTCTTTTCTTCTCCTCCCCGTTCCCTCCTCCACATCTCCTCTCTACTCTTTTCCTCTGAGACATCGACCATTGTCGTGGCCTACTTTGTGCCGTCCAGCACAGCCAGGTAGTCAATCAGGGACATGCCGAGACACACTAATATCACTCCAGAACCCAGCCAAACGAGGAGAACCTGGGGGCACTCACACTCTCCACATCACACACACTCAAATACACCAATTTCTCACAGGTGGTCCCACCCAACCCACTGAGAAACACTTGGAACATGTCCCACCTGTATCACTTGTATCATATGTCAAGCTGTATCATACACTGAGTGTTTATTTGCATAGAAAGCATTTGTGTTTTTAATTATTTTCTAAGGGTCAGTAAATTGTACACCTCCTCCAAATATATGTTTCTGGTAGATCCTGGTCTTATACACTAATCTCCTACAGTGACTAGCCCTGAACCACCACTCTTACCACAATTAGTCCGTAGCCTTAGGTAGCGAGCCGCTCACAACAGCATGCGTGCGTCACATTCCTGCACAGCACTGCAGCTTCTAAAAATAACCCCACCGCTCTTTGTTTTAGATGTTTTAGTCATATTTAGCCCTTGTAAAACAAAGGAAGACGTGACACTGAGCCGCGGGGATTGAATGAATAGCGAGTGCAGCATATGCAGCTGGTGGGCCCAAAGTTTTATTAGACTCTTCTACAATCCAAGAATAGCTCAACCAGCCCCTGTAGTTACTGAATAATGAGCTTTAGTATGTAATAAGGCTGGAATTTTAATGGTTATCAATAGTGGAACCTACTCAGGCATGTATTTCAGCCTGGTGCATCTGTAGCATTTGATCAATTACAACAGACAATAACTTCCCTTAAGAGAATAAGACAGTTTGTTGCCTTGAAACATGGTTTAATGGAAGACGACGGATGATGTTTCAGCATCTGCCCATTGACTTCTATTAAGTGAGTTGCAAGTACCGGCAGATGTGTCCAAATTATTGTCAGTGTTGATCCATTATGTCGCTGTTGTCGGAACAAAACCTCATATCATTGGACTTTTCTCCAAGTCATTCTGTGGCATTTCTTTTGCTTCATTCATCATGAAATTTACACACAATGTTAAGGGAAATAGATGTTTTCAAATTATGTCAAACTGAAAAACGACAAAAATGGACATATGAGGTTTTCCTCCAACAGCAGTGATATGCTACAGACACCACAGATACAGTTAAGAGTAGAAAAAATATGAGTATTTCTTTAACAACTCACTGAACTGAGCCTGTGTAACCATTTGCTACTCTTACTAACCCGCTTAATAATAGCAGAGTGGATTCACGTGTTCTGAGCCATCAGGTTGTATGACTTTAAGAAGCCCTTGTTTATTTCCATTGCAGTTGATGCTTACTAGAGGATTCTTTCTAAATGCATACAAGAAAATAGGCTCATTAAATTACACGCCTGTCCCCTATCACCTGAGCTACTGTAATAGCTGAGTCAGCTCATGTGGGACGGTGTATTATGGTAATATGGCGTATGCATGTCATTGCCCTGAGTGATAAAGCTATTATTTTATTCAGTTTGCCACTGAAAATAATTTTTGTACTTTAATGAGCCTATTTACAGTGTTCCCTTATGCACATTTACAAAGAATACACTGGTAAGAAACAGCAGGACTGTATATACTCTGTACAGCTTGAAGATGTGTTGGGGGGGGGGTTATTCCCTTTACTAATTCTGCTATTCTGGACCGTCTGATCATGTGGATCAAAGTGAGACACTTTTTGTTTCTGTCAATTTTGACTGGATTCTTTCTAAATGAGAAAAAAATTAAGTGATGTAAATAATCTCACTATATTACAACCAATAAAAGAATGGTTTTATCATAGGGAGCAGATCCCATATTAACGTTTAACAAACTGTCCCACAGAGTGCATACACGGAATGAACAAGGAGCAAACATCGGCTCCACCTGAATTAAATGTAGCAACACAATTATTCCCCCAAAAGGGTAAACTTAAAGACATGGAACAGCTGTAGCATAACATACCTGAATTCTACACAAGCAGCACCTCCTTTTACTAACCCATTGACATACTACGTATGGAGTATATATGCTGTGAATACTATGTATATAACACATATATAAAATCATGTATCTCCAAAATGTTAATAGGAGAAGAAAAAACGTTTATATATATATATATATATATATATATACACACACACACACACACACATTTTTGCCATTTTCCAGTTTTTGATATAATCATGTTACCCTTTACATTGTCCATGATGAATGATGATGATGAATTGACCAAAAGAAATGAACCAAAATGAGTTAAAAAATCTGGTTCTATTGACTTGCATTAATAGTAAAGCATGTTTTTTCGTCTCCTGTATTTTGGAGATATGAGGTTTTGTTCCAACAGCAGTATACACATACACATGTATGTATGTTTGTATGTAAACTGTATGTAAACTGTGCAAAAGTCTCCTATGCAACCTGTTTATTACCATCTTTCTTAGCTATGTGTGCTTTTGACATTAAAAATAAATAGAATACAGTAAAAAGCCTCAAAGTTTTCTAGTGTTCAGAAAAGTAGTTTATATCTTGGGAGCTAGTTAGAAAAACAAAGGCTTGGTTCTGGACTTCTGGAGCCATCAGATACATTCAGTTTACATTCAGTTCCATCAGCAGCACTGATTTCATTTAATGAAAGGCTGATTAGCCAAACCTGATAATGGATGAAAACTACAGTCAATACTGGGTGTTCCGAATGAGCACATTAACATACATAAAATCACTACTTACTGTATTTGTTATCTGGACGTCTGAGCAAATAATCATTTACTGCCTGATAAATAGCTTTTTAAAGGTTTACAACTTTTACAAAGTTATATATATACACAGCATTCATTCTGAAATGAAGGGTATTAATAGGGAGTTTGTCCCCGTTTGCTGCAGTTACAGCCTCTACTCCTTTGTGAAAGCTTTACGCTAAATGCTGGAACATTGCTGTGAGGATTTGATTGCATTCAGCCACAAGAGTGATTAGTGTTCTGGACCACTCCAACTCATCTTAATGGTCTGGGATGGAGCGTCATCACCCAAAGAACACAATCCCCCTGCTCCACAGGGCAGTGCTGGGGGTCTTTATACCCCTCTTACCCATGCTTGGCATTGGGCATGGTGACCTCCGGCTCATGTGCTGCTGAGCATCTCACTATATCTGGAACACTTGTCTATGGGGATTTTACAAGCTCTGCGCCTCTGTGAGCAGAAGGTGAACCTCAGCATATATGAATAAACATATATGCCATTATATCCACTGTATCCAGTGCAAAGTTTACAACTTTACATGCAACACCAGTAGATCAACACACCACAGTTCCTCCGTCACAAAGTGTGTGTGCGCGCGCGCGCGTGGGGTGGAAAAGAGTGGCACAAACACTCAGCAGCTCGCGTTCACTTACCGGCGACTCTCCCCGGCTGCTCGCGCACAGCGGACCGCGGAAAACTCCTTTAATGCTCCTGTAGTGGCCGTTGCTGAGGTGCGTGGAGCTGATCACCAGGTAGTAGCACGCCATCCGGCCCACCGTGACCCATCAGCCGGAGCGCGCGGAGAGGTTCGGAGTGGACGCTGGTGCAGTTCGAGTTTTTAGCACATCCTGCGCGAAGTCACGCGCTCCTCGCCGTCCTTTCGGTCGCTGAACGGGCGACCGGCGCGAGCAGCGTTTATTTATTTATTTATTTATTTATTTATTTATTTACATATGAACTCATGCCAGTCGCGAAGAGGGCAGCTTCTCCTCCTCTTCTCTCTCCTTCTACCCTCGCGCTTCGTTTTTGAGGCACACGCGTGCACGCGGTCTTTCTCTCTCTCTCTCTCTCTCTCTCTCTCTCTTTCTGCCGCGCGCCCGTGTCCAGATGTGGTCTGTACTTCTTTTTCTCTGTTTTGAAGCTTTTGGCTAAACTAACTCAGTTTGTCTTGCGCATCCACGCGCTGCCCCCCGGTCCTCCTCGCGCCTGAAAACAGGACAAAAGTCATGCCTGTTTGTGGTTGTAGAGAAGCAGATTCTCGCGCGCAGTTCGACTCCTTCAGCTCTGTGGGATGGTGATGATGACGGTGATGAAGGAGGTCCTGCTTGTTTCCGGTTGTGCCCCGTCTCACCGTTTTAGAGCCAAACGTCTCGCGCTTCACCCACTCTTTCCTTTCCTCTCTCTCACTTTCTCTCTCTCTCTGCTTTCTCTTTCAGCCGGTGCTCGAGGCTGCTACCAAATTCCCAATGACAATCCGCGCGCTGCGCAGAGTGGGATATGGCTTATAGCCTCTCACTCTCTCTCGCCTCTCTCTCTCTCTCTCTCTCTCTCTCTCTCTCTCGCCTCTCTCTCTCCTTTGCCTCTCCCTCGCTTTCTCTTTCTTTCCTTCTCTCTCCCTCGCTTTCTCCCTGGCTTTCTCTCTCTCTCTCTCTCTCTCTCTCTCTCTCTCTCTCTGCTAAGGCGGGATTAGAGGGGGAGCAATAAGCCACTGATCGTGGGCTGTATTTTTGGCGCTATACGATTCAGTGAGCGCTCAGGAAACAATCACAGACCCTTTACCCCCAAAATCTCAGACGATCTCGAGAAGTTCCCTCAGAAATATGACAAGGCTGGTAGGACTGTACGTGTCAGAGGCTCTGTCTTCACCAAAATGCATCAAACGCTCGGATTCAGAGCCCTAACGTGGCTTAATCTCGCTCCTTTATCAGGCTTGTGTCGGCGATGGTTTCAGCACCGCGGACAGCGGCTCAAGGGCTGCGGGACGCTGTCCGCTCACTGTAGTGCTGAAACAGCCGGAGCGCTGCAGGTACTGAGCGGAGGAGCGACGGGAGCCGCCGCTTAATGCTGACGGACTAAAGACTCTCACCCGACTTGTGTGTGTATATGTTCTGACCCGGACCCTGTGCAAAAATCAGAGACCGCCCTTCATTTATTGAATTTCCAGTAAAAACATCGTTAGTAAAATGTATTTATTTTTCAGTGTCGCAGAAAATTACCCAGAACTACTAAACATATCAGATTTTTCAGTATTCAGTGTGTCTACTCTGCCTTTATTACAACTTCTGTTCTTTTTATTTATCAACGTTGAAGGGGAATTCCACCCATTTTTCAGAATTTCTCCATAATTAACTGGGTTATATGTAAATAATGTCCTTCAGAGTGGTTTAGTGTGAAATGCTTCATTCTAGAGAAGAACTGTTCACAGTGGTGGTGATAGGAACCAGACATCCACCTCTAAAAGCTCCCTCACAGAAAGTTATTATACAAAGAGTTATAAATACACTGCCTGACGCCCAAGACATTTTATGATGATTTTATGAAAAGATTTATGAAAACATATTCATAGTACAAACCTGTTTTTACTTATATATAAGTGTGTGTGTGTGTGTGTGTATATATATATATATATGCCAACTTTGAAAGTATTTTAAAGGAATTCCACCAATTTTTCAAAAAATGCATAAATAAATGATTAAGGATAGAACTGTTTACAGTGGTGGTGATAGGAACCAGACGTCTGAAGAGTTTAATGCCTCTAAAAGGTCCCTTGCAGAAAGCTATTATACAAAAATCGTGAATAAACTGCCTGATGCCTGAGACACTGCTTTATGATAGTTTTGAAAACATACAAACACACACATATTATATATATATATTCATTGTGGAGGGGTATATGCAGAGTGTTGTGTGGCAAAATAGACCCCAGAGATAATGTATTTTTTCAGAATTATCCCTGTTTTACCTTCATTAACATTCCATATAAACTCAGAGGACATGTATAGGCTCACTGGTGGTTTTGTATAGTAAATAAAATGTCTATGTCTGTGTTGTAGTCATGGCGACCCCTGGTTCCTATCACCACCACTGTAAAGAAATGCTAGTGGTCCATTTCACAACAAACCACTCTGAATGACTCAACCACTGAATTATGCAGAATTGCTTGAAAAATTGCTGAAATTTCCCTTTATGCTGCAAAGCCACTGACCTATAGGCAAAAACAGACAGATAGAAAACAGTAAGTTTACAGGAGAAAGCAAAGAAATTCTTGTTTCTTAATGTAAGATAACGTAAAGAGGTTTTACTCTAAATGGTTTTGAATTTGAGCAGTTTTATTAACCCATTTATCATAATTTTTCACACAATCTAAAGGGCAGCTGCTGCATTCAAATGATATAGAAAAATAACAAATTAACAAAAATGATCATGCAATTTTTAGAAATGTTTTTTCAGAGGTTTACCTGTGAGGGTTGCGATCTGAGCTGGACCCAGTGAAGAGCACAGGATCAAAGCACACTGTTATGAACAGGTTTATAGTTTATTAAAAAAAGTATTATATTATTATAACCATGACATGCTATATAGAAGAATGAGTTTTAGTGAGTCAATCAGTGGCCTATTTGTCTTCTGTCAGTTACATAACCACTCATGTACAGTGTGGCTGATTCAGGCTTCTCCCCAGGCCATCTCCTATTGGCTGACACATGGTTTCATCAGAGTTTGTTCTGTCAAAAGTTCAACTCTGGTGAACTTCATTCTGTCCATCAACACTTTGTTCTCATTGAGATTCTCATTGGAAGCATTCAAAAAAGAAAGAAGCAATTTTCCATTTTCTGTTGTAGAATTTAAATTTAAGGACAAAAGTTTTGTCAAATCTTTCTAAATTTTTCCTACCACCCCTTCCAACATACACACACATTCTCCACCCCCCACACAGATCTTAATAAAATATTAAATAGATTTTGGGGCTCATACACTGTGCAAAATTGTATCTTAGCAAGTAAAAACATCTTAAATGTGTGAAATATACACTATATGGCCAGAAGTATGTGGACATCCCTCTTAGTTATTGTGTTTAGGAGTTTACACTCATTGCTAACAGGTAAATAAAATCAAGCACATAGCCATGTAATCTCCATAGGCAAACACTGGCAGTAGTAGGGTGGTACTGAAGAGTTCCATAACTTTAAACATGGCACTGTCATAGGATGGCACCTTTGTCACAAGTCAAATTGTTCTCTGTTAGATCTGCCTCAGTCAACTGTAAGTGCTATTGTTGTGAAATGGAAGCGTTTAGGAGGAAGACCAGGTCAGCCATGCCTCTTCTGTTGCATTACTCACTACAGCACTACAGAAGCACCATCAGCACAAGAACTGTGCATTGTGAGCTGCATGAAGTGGGTTTCCATGGCCAGTCAGTTGCATACAAGCCTAAGATCACTGTCAGCTGAAGTGGTGTGAAGCATGCCGCCGTCGGACTCCGGAGCTGTGGAAAGGTGTTTTCTGAAGTGACGAATCACGTTTCACTGTCTGGCAGTCTGGTGGATGAATCTGGGTTGGGTGGATGCCAGAAGAACACTCCTGGAGTGCACAGTGTCAACAGTAAAGTTTGCTGGAGAAGCGGTAATAGTTTGGGGCTGTTTTTAGGGTTTAGGCTCAGTCCCCTTACTTTCAGTGAAGGGTGATGTTAATGCTACAGCATACAGACATTTTATTATATGCTGCCAACTTTATGGTAACAGTTTGGTGAAGGACCTATCTTGTTCCAGCATGACTGAGCCCCTGTGTACAAAGTGAGGTCCATAAAAACTTAGTTTGATGAGTTTTGTGTGGAGGAACTCCAGTGGCCTGCACAGAGCCCAGACCTCAACCCCACTGAACACCTTTGGGATGAATTGGAATGGCAACTGTGAACCAGACCACAATTGTCATTAAGAAATGGCAGTTAAGGCTTACTAGTTAAATGTCATTAAGAAGGGTTACTGTGGCAACCGGAAAGGCAAAGCAAAACCCCCATATGAGAGTCCTGCAGGAAGGTTTAGCTGAGACAGGAGTGGTGGTGCACTCTTCGACATGATCTCCATGGAAGAGTCAGTCATCAGAGGGAAAATTTACCTGGGACTTCTGCACAAAGGTCGACATCTGAAGTGTGCAACATAATATCAAGATAAAACAGAAGTCTTTTGGAAACAAGTGCTGTGAAATGATGAAAGTAGAAATAGAACTCTTTGGCCACAGTAAACAAAGAAAGCAAGGGAACAGCATTTGATGAAAAGAACACCTTGCCAACTGTTAAGCATGGGGATCTATTCAGCTTTGGGGTTGTGTGGCATCCATTGGCATAGGGAACTTTGCCCAGGTAGAGAATATCCACTCAATGTCCACTAAATATCCACAAAACAAGTGTGTCAAATGGTCAAACTAAACTGTCAGCTGAAGCTGAAACATTAATTAAATTAATTGACATTAATTAAATGTGCTGTATTACCTCCAAAGCAATGTCTAAATTACCACTCTATTATTACACATTACCTACATAACAACTACACAGGAACTGTCCACTTAATTAAATTTATTACACAGTTATTCCATAGTAATTATGGAAAACATAAGTATAATGTTATGTAAAACACACTTCTTTTAACAGCTGGAAAAGACTTCTGATCTGTAGTGTATCAAAAAGGTACACTTGTGTAATTATATGTGGCAAAACTGAAGTTGATACACATGTGTAATTACATAGGCTGTACTTCTGTAATCCGTCCGAACA